TTATCGAATTTGCATGTGAATAATACTACTGAATAAGAATAGTTGATTTCTTTTTCTCTTGATAACAACATTATTTCAAATGTGCGAGAAGTCGAAGTGAAGGAAAATACGCTGTTGCCAGTATAGAGCGTTGGAATCATGTTCCTTAAAGCGAATAAAACGTGGAAGGGAATTTATCTGTTAGAGATAAAGAGAAAATTATGTTCCATTGAAATATTTCAAAGAATATTAGAAGATATACTTATAATGCGGAGGTCGTGAGTCTTTTCTTTCAAAGACAACCACTACCTCGATTAGAGACGAAAACCACAGATATAACTTATATCTGTGGTTTTCGTCTCTAATCGAGGTCTCTAATCGAGGTAGTGGTTCATACTAGCGATAGCCAAGTGTCAGTGCACTGATAACCGACGACACCGACACTGACGATCACTGATACACTGAAATATTGACACTGGCAAACACTTGACACACTGACGCACCGATACTGATAATCAGTGAAACACTGAAACACTGACACCGGCCGTCACTAACCAGAATACCTGGGCAGAAGATCAAAAGACGTTCTGTGTCCATTACAATCATGAATCATGTGTATATTCCGTCGATGTTTTCTTTCTTTTTGCTAGCACAGGCGTATAGGCGCACACGTAACCCCTTCTCGTCTATCTAATGCACTAGTAGTTCGTTTTTCTTTTGCTTTCTCTCTATGTCTCAATCATGTGTGATCTCTCTAGTGAATATGTGGTCACCACATATTCTAGATCGTTCTAGTACGATGTCGCGTTGTTGTTTTTTATTTACTTCTGTGTTGTTAATCTGTTTGCACTCCTTTTATCACGGAACGTGTACATTAACAAGTATCCTTTCTGGAAGAGAGAAGGAAAAAGGAGACAGAGAAGGATACGCGTAGTTTGTGTGATCTTACTATTTGAAAACTTTTTTCTATGCTTCAAAGGAAGACTTTTTCTCACTTCGATTTTAGAAAAAAAAATGATTACTCCTCCCATCTAACAAAAATAAACAGATATTGAAACTGATATACTTAGCTAGAGGCAGTGTGTCAGTCTTCCAGTGATCATCAATGTCGGTGCGTCAGTATGTCAGTGCTCATCAGTGTCAATGCTTCAGTGTTTCAGTGATCGTCAGTGTCCGTGTCATCAGTGTCAGCATCTCAGCGTTCGCACCGACACTGAGCCATCCCTAGTTCATACAATAGTTAATCTATACTCTGTGCGTTACGCATTCTCTCAAACATTTTCTCTCTTTCCGCTTTACTTCATATTTATAAAACAATATCTTTCACTAGCGATAGGATCGGTGGCAGTGGCGGGCTTTGTTCTTGGTCCTTGTGTAATCCATTCATTTTTTATGCCAAATGGCTAGTCAAAGTCAGCGAGTTAACGGAGCTGATGAATGTGCTTTTCTTATCAATACTCGTAATATTTGTGCATATGCAGAAGATAACAGTGACATAACAAAATTTGACCTACTTGAAATGCTAGCTTACAACGAACATCCTCTCTTTATTGCTATAACTGAATTATGGTTAAACAATAAAACATCAGACAATCCCATTCAAATTCAGAACTACGTAATCCTTAGGCGTGATCGCACTGGGAGCACAGGAGGAGGTTATCTTCTCTATAAAAGGAATGCTATACATATCAAACGATTGATCACTCTCGAACATACAGAGTTTGAAGTAGAGATGGGCATCGGGACCAAAAAAATTTTCTGGTCCCGGTAAAAGATTTGATTGCCGTTCCATCACCTTCACGGTTACAATATCATTTGGCCGTGCATTTTGTAGAGAAATGTTTGCTCTTTCAGATTATATATTCTAAAATATACCAGACCTTCGTTACGAATTAATTTGACAAATACAATGACCGGGACCAATCTGGTCCCGGTCGGTCCCGATGATCTTGGTCCCGGTCATGTATTTGCTAAATTGATTGATAAAAGAGACTCGCGAAATATTTTAGAATATATAATCTGAAAGAGCAAACATTTCTCTACAAAATGCACGGCCAAATGATATTTTAACCGTGAAGGTGATGGAACGGCAATCAAATCTTTTACCGGGACCAGAAAATTTTTTTGGTCCCGATGCCCATCTCTAATGATGAAACTTCTATCATGCAAACAATCGATCAAGGTGAACTAAATGAGCACTCTTACCAAAGAGAACAAACAAAATCATCAACGTCTAATCTTGTGAAAAAACCTTTGAACGTTTTCGCAAATTTATTTCGTCTTAAACCTGTAATAACAACAATGAATCTAACACCATTACGATTTGATTTTCTGAAGATTGTCTATAACACAATCTGTAAAGAAATGGCCACTACACCAAATGCAAAGTCGAATATATTAAATATTTCAAAATTCTTTGATAGAATTGTAGAAGATGCAATAGCGATAGTTCATGGAAACGATACAATTCCTCGACCAGTTGACACTAATCTTGAACAAAAAATTGTAGGTTTGATTAATACACATATCAATGAAATTAACTTTGAATTACTTGTGTTCCAATTATTATTATCAAGACAAATTATAGCATTCATTCATATCTCTATTATGATATTACTAACAAATCTTTACTATAATGAACAGAGAAATCATTTTGATCAACAAATGTCAACATTAAACGAAGAAAAAGAATCAGTGTTAACTTACTTTATTAGTATGGTTGTACCCGATGAACAGTGTGATGAAAAAGGAGCACACATTTTTGCAAATAAAGTCAAAAAGGCTGTTCAATCAAACTTAATACGTGATGCACAACAAATCATAGCACATATTATTCAAACACAACAAAAATTAAATCGAAAACAGATTCAAATAATTTGTGATGAAAAATTACAAGCCGTAGCATATGACAATGATTGGTTATTTCGTTATATCGATGCACCGACTGATATTATCGTAGAAGAATTTCAGATGTTATGGAAACAAGTTGAAAAAACAATTAATCAACAATTGGAAAATGAAAAATATCAATGGAAAAATATTTTAATCGAATTTTTTAATTGTATTGAATTTATGATATCCTCACTTGCAAATGAAGGTTCACCTAAACGATTTGTTGATGACATATTTCAATCATCAGATGGATGTGCAGCAGAAAATTTGAGAAATAAAGGTCAATGTATGGTTTTATTATTGTATGATTATTTATCGGGTAACAAAATCGAAGCAGGAACATTTTATACAGTACTTAATCTAAATTACACATTGAATTCAAAGGTATTAAGATTATTTAAAAAATTACCAAGACCAAGTCAGCAACTAACCACTTTAATAAAGGGAATGAGAAATGTTGATGATTCCAATGATAACAGAATGGCAATTACTTCGATAAAAATATGGCATGTTTTTCTTCAAAGTATTATGGATGTTAAAGAAATAATTGTAGGTACTTACGATAGAAGTTCAGCCACATTTGCAGCATATGATAAAGATGAAATTTATATAAAACTATTAGACGAAATACGTGGTTGCACTTCAAAATGTCCGCATTGCCAAAGACCTTGTGATACTGATCACAGTTTGGGTAAATATAGCGCCGGTATGATTGCTTTTGTCACAATATTGAATAAAATCGAGCTTTTCTTCAATATCAGATATCTGAACTATAATCAAACACATAAATTTTAATGAACAAAACGATAGTTTAGTCGAAATTTAGATTTATTTTCTATCTATATCGAGTGCATGGCATGTTCCGATTTTTTGGAAATGCAGAAAAAGTCGCCGCACGATTTCTCAGTAACTATCTCGTCCTTGATGCATTATCAGGTTCCTATCCTCCCAAATGCACCTGCATCCTTTATCCATGTATACATTTCCACTTCATCCTAGATTAGGTCGAGTCAGGTTATGAGGAAATTGTAATTCTTATTTTCATAATATATATACACGTGTATATCTGCCTGCCTATTTCGACTTCATCAAAGGTTAGGTCAGGTCAGGTTAGGTTATGTAGAGATTCAAGTTCATCTTTATTTTTTTTGGTAAATTGTGAAACGATGGAGTTTACAACTTTCTTTTTCCCATGTACTGGGGCTTGTCGAAACGTTGGAACGAACTGTATTCTCAAAAGACAAATATCCGTAGGAATCCAGCGAGAAGCACCATTAAAATTTTGTCTTGTAGCTTACTCTCACGCGACCCACTCTCATGCTCACTCTTATGCTAGATATATATGTGCATGCCAGTACAGAAACACTGTTCTATACCACTCTAAACAGTGCCGCGGTAAATCAGTCCGTCAAGCCACACTTTGTTACAAACAACATACACATAAAACTGGATTTCTGTCACGTGACTCTTATTTTGCCAAAAAGTTATGATGAATTCTTACTACATAAATTTTGGTACGATATATAGTATATATACTATAGTTCTTATGACAAACTTAGAATTTTTTTCTCTCTCCATCAGTTGAGCACAAATAAAGTGCATGGTTGTAAGAAACGTGGTTAGACACATTTCTAAGGACGTCAGAGTCCTTCATGTGCTCCAAAATATTATAAAAAGAAAAAAACTTTTTTTCGAAGTGGGTCTAAAGGGGATCTGCAGTACAGAACCAGAGACATAATCTTGTAAGATCTGATGAATTCTTATATGATATTATGAATCTTTCAAGATCTTGTCAGTTCTTGTACAATCCTAAACGATCTTACAGAATCATGTTGCAAGAAAACAACATCTTGTGAAATCTTGTAAGGTCTTAAAAAATCTTATGGTATCTTATAGCATGAT